GAGGAGATACAATTTAGTTCCCAATAATAACAAAACTACGAATTGCGGGAACGTAAATAATTACAGCGAATGTTCTTTCGCTCTCAACCTACAGATAGAGTAATAAAAATGTTCTCGAATATTCCAGAAAATAAGGCCTATATAAACCTCCTCTCTCGTAACCCCGGCGCTCTTTTCCGATTGCTTGTCGCGTCAAGAGTGTGCTTATACTTTACGAAAAAGATCGCTTGTCTTTTTCGTTTTTCACGTTTAATTACCGTTGCTTGCGGACATTCAGTAATTTATTTTCGACCCGGCTTTTCTCTCGTTTATTGTATTTATTTCTAATACGTTCGACTCGGCTATCTTTTGGTAAATTCTGTGCGGTTAAACAATTGTATTTTGTGTTAATAGTTGAAATATATTTTTGTTAACGATACGCGTGTGTCGAGTGTAGTGTCTATCTATCGTCTCGCTTCCGACCTTCCTATCCTGCTTTCCGTCGCGCACAGTGTGTTTATAGTATTAATATTCCATCTCTATTTTTAACGATTATTTCAATTTTTAAAAAAATTTTTCTTGAATCCATTTTTAAAAATTACACCTAGGTGAGATCAAAAGTTTAATTCATCATTAATAAGTTTTACATTGTTATATGTAGACCTGAAATCAATATCATATATGCAAAAGAGAAACATACAGAATTCTTTAAAAATGTAAAGAAACATATAATGTGTCGCTTGGCAAAATTGACTTTAATTTTTAAAGTTTTAATTATTTTTCTAACAAAGTACAATATTTAGTCAATATTTGACATTCTGCTTCAGTCATCGTTTGTATATAACTATATTAAGATTGTTCGTTAAATCCGTTTTTTTGTGAGAAAGAATTTATTTAATAATGGCCGATATACATATATATATTAACACAATACACCTCCTTCATCTCGGCCAATAGAGCCACACGCGATGTTATTACGACAAATAAGAAAAACAATTTGGAAACTAAGGAATTTGAATCTTATGGTTGGGATCTCAGAAATTCTCCTTGTTCCTCTCGTAACTTCCCCTGTAAAGAAATAGGCGAGAAAAATATTGGTCCGAAAGTCGGATGAATCGGGAATTCCCGATTTCCACCCTTTTACAGATATGTGGATATTTTCACGATCATCCCATTGAAGGGTGTTGATGAAATTGTGTCGTCTTTTAATGATTACCATCCGAGATTAAAATTTACGCATGAAATTGAAAGTAATAACGCGATTAGTTTTTTGAACACCATGTGATCAGACATAATGATAGATTGTTAACTGATTGGTTTATGAAACCCACTTGCTCGAGTAGATATATTAATTATCATTCTAATCATCCTTTTAAATACAAAAAGAATACCATTTTTAGTCTTGTTGATCATGCAATTTTATTATCGGACGACTGTTTTCATCAAAAGAACATCTCTAAAGTAAAATCGATATTGACGAATAATTGTTTTTCGTCGGATATATTATTAATAAGTTTGTGAATAATAGGTTAAAATTGCTTAAGACACGAAATAATGACGATCGCAATGTGGATAACGATAATTCAGTTAGTAAAAAATTTGACCGTATTATATACATTTACCGTATGTCAAAGAACTTAGTAAGGATGTTTCGAGATTATAACAATTTACTGGCATGCAAAGCGTTTACTGCATACCGAAAAAATTAAATACATTAATTAGACGCGTCAAAGATCCTTTACCTTTAAAAGAAAATATAGGAGTAGTATATAAAATTAATTGCGCAAATTGTTCCTTATCATATATTGGTCAAACTAAACGACAATTAGGCACACGTATAAAAGAACATTTTAATAATTTTAAAGTACACAATAGTAATTACTCAGTCATAAGTAATCATAAATTGGATAATGGTCATGATTTCGATTGATCTGCTCCAGAAATTTTACATCATGAGAAATACGTAAGTAAATGAGAAATCGCGATGATTTTTATCTAAAAATTTGACAACACAATTAATTTACAAAAAGACACGGATAATCTAAATAATGTTTACGAGAAACTAATAAAGGTCGTTTAGTTTGATCAAAATAGTGAGTATATAGGGACCTCGAAATCGACACGATAACATAGTTATTTCGTTTCATACTATCATGTTATTATATGATGTCATATTCTAAGATTGAATTTTTGTTTTTTAAAACAGTTGTGATTTACTTTGATTTAAGGACATAGGTATGTTTGCGTATTAACGTGTGAAAGTTTCTATATAGTTTATTATTTTTATATTTATTTTTCTAATAATTGTTAATATTATATTAAAGCACTTAATAAAGGCCGAAACCCACGGCCGAAACGTTGTGAAAATTCAATAAAATTATTTATTTGCCAGAGTTGGTCGATTGAATTATTACTATTTTTTAATTATCATCTGGTGACTTTATAGTTTTATATCATTTAAACAATTTTATGGTAAATATATATGTCTTTATGCAGACAATTATTTAAAAATATCTATAGTTGTAGTAAGAGGATAGGGCAAAATTATTCCATAGTTCCACTTAATATATTATTTTATTAACTCTATAGAACAAAATGTTTTGTTTAAAAATTACATGTTAATAATGTGTATGAGCATTATTTCTACGGATAATTTCAAAAACTCTATTTTTTATATTGTCAATTAAGGTTTGTAAGATTGCGATTTCTATTTAGCTCACACTTGTCTTATATCATCTTTAAGATCTGAAATTGTAGCATACTGCGTTGCATTTGCGTATACTTTCCGGACTAATATTCCCCAAAGGTTTTCAATTGGGTTCAAGTCAGGGGACTACTCGATTAACCGAATATTTTTACTTCGAAATCATTTAGAGGAACTATGGAGATTTCACGCACTGTATATACAATACTCGTATAATAAAATTTATCAAAGCAGGCCATTTCTAATATATACAAAATAACAGTATACGAGAAACATTTTTATCATTGTTAAATTAAAAATAATATGTAAATAATTGTAAAACAAGCGATACAATGCAAAAATAGTTTTCATATGGATGAACAGATAAATAAATTATGGGATCAGGTTTTCATAAAATCGGTCATCCAATAATAGCTCAAAAACTGCAGTTTAACAAAACTTTTTTAGTTTTATGTTATATGTTTATGTTTTTTATATGTCATATATGATTTTAAAAATGTAAAAATTTAATGAATTTTCACAAATTTGAAATTAAGAATTACAAAGTATTAATATGTATATATTTTTCTATGGTTTCTCATGACACTATTTGTAAAATATTTCTTACTCGATAAACAAAATATGAGTATATCAGCCAATTTTATTACGTTAAATATTTATAGAATTATTAGTATTTCTTGCATTTAAAAAAAAATTTTTTTCTTAATTAATTGTGAAATAAATATATTTTTAAAGGAATCAAAAGATTATTAATTTATAATTATTCATTACAGTTATTAAAATGAATTCAACTATCATATAAACGAAAGAAAAGATACAGATTTCTTTTAAAAAGTAGAGAAAACATATATATATGTCCTTTATTGAGACTTCGAGTTTTAAGGATTTATGTATTTTTTCCTAATGTAATAGAATTATTCGGAACTTTGAATTTAGTCAGTATCTGACATTGTGCTTCAGTTTCTTTTATCGTGTTCTTGTTCTCATTCAGAATACTGTCAATATAAATCAAAACTAAAATTGTTTAACTCTCATATAAAATAAATATGTGTATTGCATTATTATAAGCCTTGGGGTTTACGTATAACAATATTTTTAATGTAATTGTATATTTTTAAAAGAAGAAATTATAAATTTTGAAAATAATTGACCAAACTAGCAGGTAAAATCGTTTATTTAATTTCACGAAGTTTCGACCATATGGTTGTGGTCATTTTCAAGTGCAAAAGTAAAATTAGTAATATTTAACTCATCATAAAACAACAATCAATCTCAATTTATAGTAAAATATATAAGTCAAAATTAAAATTAAATTGAAATTGTGAGACAGCCACAATATATCCCAACCAAGGATCGTCAGAATCTGAAGAAATTATACTTTATGTAATTATATTGTAAAAGAAATTTTGATTTTTGATGTAAGATATAGTAAAAAAGTTCATAATTTTTCTTTTAGTATATTTTGAGTATTTTATTTTGAGCAGGTCAAACCGAGTAGAAAAATCCTCTACTATTTTGCAAAATTTTTAATAAATGAGAAATTAATTAATAAAGATCGACCAATACGCGCGCTTACAAGCGCGCGGCGAGAAGAGACAGCCTATATAATTACACCGTTGCTTAGCGCGCGGCGAAGCGATCCTCCTATCGCTTGTAAGTGCGCGTATTGATCAATCTTTATTAATTAATTTCTCATTAATTATTAAGAATTTCGCAAAATGGTACAGGACTTTTCTACTCGGTTTGACCTGTTTTACCTGCCTACGAAAGGTGATACGTGAGTCACCGGACATCTTGTATATGTATCGGTTGTAGAGCCTAAACGTGATGTCTTTTGCGCCCGAAAATTAATTTTTTCAAAAAATATTGCGTTTAAACTCTAGAGCCGATACATATATATTGTTACGTCCTCGGGATGACCTTTGCGATGTCTCGCAAAAGCGTCTCTCACACTCACGCACTCACTCGCGCGCGAAAGGAATAAGTCGTGTTTATATGCGAAGCGGATTTAATAAGACAACGAAATACAAGATATGAAAGCCCGGAATACAAAGGTATTGATAGCCGTCAAAAAAATGCGTTCTCACGATGTGACAGCTCGGTCCCGAAAATCAAGGTGGCGCCGGAAAACAGCCGTACGCCGGTTGTTAATAAACAATCCATTTAACGATGATGTTCAGGGGATGAAAGGGATGAAGGCGCTCAGGGGATGTAAAACCAGGGACGTAACAATATATTGTATGTCTATTTCGAGGGCCGAATAATCATATTCTTAATATTGTCTGTATTTTTTCTTTTACATTATAAGTTTATTTCTAAAATTATATATTAATTACAGTAATTTAATAATTTTTGTATACTTAAACATACAATCGATATAATCGTTCAGCATTTTGATATAACATATTTAAGTAATATAAAAATACTATACTTATAATATACTTAAAATTTTCAAGCTGTAATTAAAATCACTCTTTTACAAAAGCTTAATAGGCCAAGTGAATTAACTTCTGTTCTTTCCTTGTTCATTCTTCTGCGAACAATTTTGACTTCAATCGTATATTTACAAAAAATACCATTCTCTTTGAATGAATATGTTCTTTCATTTTAATGCATATCTCGTTTTTCAATTTGAATTTTTAAAGGTTCAACAGTAGATAATACTAGGTCTACAGTTAGTTTAATTTTATCTATCTGAATGCTATTTTCTACTTTGAATACAAATGTTCTTATCAAAGTTGTTAGGATAACTTTCATTGACATTATCGCATATTGCATACCTGGAAAAGTTTGTTAGTTATTTATATATGCAAATAAATCTCATTGGGAAACATGTTTGTGATTTGTTTATATCTACTTATACAATTTCTGGGTCCCATACTAAATGGCATGTAATAATGCTGATAAGATGTTTCAATATTTTGAGGAAGAAATCTGTCCGGATCGAATACTAACGGTTTAGACCAAAATTTTTCGTTTCTATGTAACGTAAGTAACTCTATGACAACATTAGCCCCTTTTGGTAAAATAAATTCTTCTAAAACATTAATTTTTGTACTTAAATGTAATTATTGTTAAAACTATAATAGAAGCATAATAATACATAATAAAAACATAATAAATAGATTTTATTAATAAAACAATAAGAATAGGCCAACTCTTATGTTTTAGTTTTTTTTACAGAGATTTAATAAATATATGCGCAACTCAATCTAATAAGTAAAAAGAGAAAAACATAATTTATTTAAAATTATATAAAAAATAATATATTGTTATCTGTATTTTTTTAAATCTCGCAAATTTGCTTATATAAACAAACAAAATAAATTGCATAAAAAGTTGAAGATAATATTGCTTTTATATTAAATTGTACACCTATTAGATCTTGATATGCTTATTTTAATTTAAACAGAAAAAATTCTTAAATAATAACGTTATATTTGCAATTGTAATTTATAGTTATTATTTAAGATTTCTTTTTGTGTATAAATTCTAAATAACAATAACATAATAGTTACATATTTATATTTGTAAAAAATATATATTATTATACTTCAATTCATATCGTACATACCCATTTCTAAATCCTCTGTTAGTTGTCGTGAAAATAGCGGAATAGTAGGAAATATTCTCAAAGTTTCCTTAATAACACGGTCCAAGTAATCCATATGTTCTAAATTTTCGTATTTTATTGGAGCAGATTGTGGCGTTTTCGTTCCAAAAATTTCCAATAATTCTGTATATACTTTTATCTTAAACATTATTAAGTGTATAATCAAATATATATATATATATAATATTTAAAGTATAATTTTTTATTACTTAGCTCGTATTTATCTAATATGAAATTGTTGATAATGACATAGTTCAATATAGTTATTTATGTATAGTCTTATTAAAAAATTCTTATATTATCTTAAAACATTATATATTTTTAATATAAAATTATTATTAAAGTAAATTGTGTGTGTGAATGAAGATTTTTGTATATAAAAAAATGAGATTTCAGTTTTTTATCTGTTATAAGTATACTTAATTTAAAAAGGAAAACTATACAAATTCAAGTTATGATTTTGATGTAATAATAGAATAGTTTATCAAGATTACGTTAAAAATTATTATTGCGTAATTTATATAACAGTATGCCGATGAATGACTTAAATATCGCGAATAAATAGTTCTGATTTTATTGCTTACAACATAATTTTTTAAATTTCTGCATCATAGAACAATGTCATTCGCAACTTCTATTTTAAAAGAACGAATAAATAATTTTGAATGAATTTAATATATACATACTTGAACATCTGGGAAATTTGCTAACATGAAGATAACAAAATTTACCGTAATGGCGGTAGTGTCTGTGCCCTAATAAATAAAAATTTTAATTACTTCTTTATATACAATTAAATGTACAAATACATTACATACCGCTATTAACATAGTAATCATGTTATCGTGTAACATCTCTTGTGACAACTTATTTGTATGGGATGCCTTCATTAAGGTGTGAAGAAAGGACTTATCTATATTATTTAACAAATAATGTAATTTAAAAACTAGAAGCTTGCATAAATACATTCGTCTACATTCGCAAGAGTGTGATAACTATTTTTTCAATTTTATATATTTTTCTAATTTACAGAATGATTAATAAAAATTAATTTTTAAAAAGACAGATGCTAAGTTTACATAGCTTAAGTAATACTTTAACATTGCGAACAGAATTGGTTTCTAATAATCGTTTAACGACTTAAACAAAGCACCCTTTAATTATATTTAATTTAAAGATATGAAAAAACGTATTTAGTTGTTTTTTTATGCACAACATTATAAAAATACAAAGATCAGAACACAAATATGACAAACTTACGTCTTGTTTTACTTTTGGTATTCAATTCATTTAATGCAGATGTTTGTTGTTGTATTATCTGCGTAATAACAGATTGTGCAATAAATAAAGTACTATGCAAGTTATAATATAGAAATATTCGCATAACAATTACCTTATCTGTGAAAGAATGTAAAAAGTTTACACTCTTTCGTTGTTCTCGTCCCGTAGCAGTAAGATTAAATATGAAATTAGGATATAAAAATATATTTCGTCCTCTTAATTGAAAAGTTTTTCTGAAACTGAAACATCTTTGTGTTAAAATAATATACTATAAGATATAAAAGTATATTTAACTAATCATGATTATTAAATTTTATACGTGTGAAACCAAGAGAAAAGTATAATTTTTTTAGTTATACATTTACAAACTCATATGTGGAGCATTCCACGTGAAAAGGGTCCACCTAAAAACAAACTTTTTAGGATTTTTTAACTAATCGTGGTGACTTGTTAGGGCACATATTGAATGAAGTTAAAGCTAAAAAAAAATTAGGATTATATCCCTCACATCCAAGATATCGAAGATGTAACGTTTTAAGTAATTTTTCTTTTTTTTGATAATTACAGTTAAAATTACAAAATATATAAAATTTTTATAGACATGATTTTTTAAGATTTTTCCTGTACTTTTAGATAAAAAAGTTATTTTAATGAAAGAAATTTATTCCACTTTTAAAAATCTGAAAAAAATTTCAAAAATACTTTAATATATGTAGCATATGGTACTATAAAGGAAATTTGGAGATCGCAATGGGATCCACTCGTAAACGAGTATTGTTTTTAAACAAAATGAGAATTTCGAACAAATTTTTGCGAAAAACTTCATTATTTCAAATTTTTTATTAACCTAATTATTTCATACTACATAAATAATATATTTTCAATAAACAGCTCTAAAAAAAGTAATTTTGAAGTATTTTTTATATTTTTGTTTTTATTTTTTATATTTTTTATATTTTAATTTTATATTTTTTCATTCTATTATACTTTCATTCTATTATTCATTTTATTATACTTTTTTATCAAAACTAAATTCTTTTAAAATTAAATGATTGTTTGCAGGAATAATTGTATGAAATTTTAACGTGCCTGGAATTACTTTTGCTAAGGTAAATCTTGGCTTTAAAATCTTATTTAATTTATTATGATTTGTTTTTGAACTGTATAAAATGGTTGTTTCCTTTAGATTATTTTTTGCCCACATGTATAATGCCTCAACATTGAGAATTACACTTCCTTGCAAACTAGCTTTTCTTGCTAGTCGTTTTAAATTTCCACATGTGGACAAAAAATAATCTAAATTTCCTTTATAGTACCATATTATACATACATATGTTGAATTATTTTTGAGAATTTTTTCAAATTTTTAAAAGCGAATATAATTTTCCGTTTATTTACTTTAAATTAAAAAATTTATTTTTTGTTCTAATAAATTTCTTTCATTAAAAATAACTTTTTATCTGAAAGTACAGGAAGAATTCTAAAAAATCATGTCTATCAAAATTTTATATATTTTGTAATTTTAACTGTAAATATCAAACAAGGAAAAATTACTTAAAACGTTCCATCTTCGATATCTTGGAGGTGAGGCATATAATTCTTATTTTTGTAGTTTTAATCTACAATATGTACCCTAACAAGTCTCCACGATATCGAAAAATCCTAAAAAGTTTATTTTTAGGTGGACTCTTTTCACGTGAAATGCTCCATATAATAAAATTCTAATTTACATTATAATTGCTATATTTATCAAAATTCTCTTAAAAAACGTTTTTTTTTAATTAAAAATTATTTTTATGTAGACTAATCTTGCGATCTCTGTATATGTTGTAAGAATTAAAAATTAATTTACCTTGTCATTGCTTTGTAATATTGATGGCTTTCATTTGATAGGAATTCCATTTTTATATCCGTCATTGTGCCTTTAATAAAAACAAAAATAAATTTAATATTAGAGACATTATTTATAGTAGCTAATTAATTTTTTGAGTAATGGTTTTGAGTAAAGGTGTATTATAAATTCGTTAAATAACATCTAATATAAACACAGAAAATAAAAATTCTTTTATATTATTATAAGTTTGATTGCGAGCTTATAATTACAATTAATGCTAACAAAATGAATCTGAGATATTCTATATCTGAGATAGATCTTGCAATAGAAAGTGTGAGCAATAGATGGAATTATATCAATACACATACATTAATTCCAAAAAATGAATTCATTTCCATGGTTAAATTTATATTGTCGTCAACATACTTCACATTCAATGACATTGTATACAAGCAAGTTTATGGCACACCTATGGGTTCCCCGTTGTCGCCAATAATTGCTAATATTGTTATGCAAGATCTTGAAGAATCAATAATTAATGAATTGGACATTGGTATTGGAATATATTATAGATATGTAGACGACATTATTATGGTGGCACCAAAGAATAAAATTGATAGTGTACTGAATAAGTTTAATAGTTACAATCAACGACTACAATTTACGATTGAATACGAAATTAATAGAAGCATAAATTTTCTAGATTTAAACATTAAAATAATAAATAACGTCATACACTTAGATTGGTTTCAAAAAAAGACATGTTCAGGTAGAGTACTATCTTTTTTATCGAGTCACCCTATGTGCCATAAAATAGGAGTAATTTATAATCTTATTAATAGGGCATTGTTATTATCTCATCCCATATATCATAAGAAAAATTTAGAACTGTGTATTAAAATATTATTGGACAACGGTTACCCTATTCATTTGATCTTTAAAGAAATAAATAAGAGAATAAGAGTTTTAAACAATGGACAGTTTAACAACAATAGAAAAAAAGAAATTGCAGAAGATAATAGCAAGAAAAAATTTTTTGTCATTCCATACATTAATAACATTTCTGAGACAATAGCATCGACAATAAAAAAATCAGATTTCAGAGTAGGATACCGTTGTCTAAATAATCTTAACAAATTTATTAAAGTCCACAAGGACAAAAACGTGCATAACAATAATAATAATGTTGTCTACAAAATTAATTGTAAGGATTGTGAAGCTTCGTATGTTGGGCAAACCAAAAGAAAATTACGCACTAGACTAAAAGAGCATATGAATAATATTAAATTTGATTCCTCCAAGCATTCTGTGGTCTCTGAACATATTATAAATAAAAAACATGCTTTTGATTGGGATAACGTTAAAATACTTGATATTGAATCTAATTATTATAAAAGACTTATCTCGGAAATGATACACATCAAGGAACAAAGGCATGGTATAAATAATAACACAGACACCGAATTGCTTAACAACGCGTATTTCGACATTCTAGAAGAAATATCGAATTTTTAGACTTATGTAAATGTTTATTTTGTGAGATCTGACACCTATTTATTCGACTTTTTAAAAGACTAGACAACAGTCAAGTACTAACAATAAGGCCAACAACAATTAGAAGCATCGTCATCTCAAGTTATTCGGAACAATTTGTAAGCATAAAGGTTCAATATTTTAGTATTTAGTTTAATTTGTAATTTTTAATTTTTTTACATACACATTAGTGGAATCCTATTTTACAATTGAATAAATTCTCTAAATTCAGTTAACAAATATCAAATAATTTGGAGAAGATGGACATAATCATTGCCAGATCGAGGGACTTTCGTCAAATAACGATAAGTGGTTCGTTTGGAGCAATGTATAAGTGTCACTCCGAGTTTTTATTAATAATTCTAAAATATTTTATGAATAACCGGACGAATCATTCTGCTTCTAATTGGGTTCTTACTTTGTTGAACTATTTTAATGGTTTCAATTCATTGTAAATATATTTTGCGTTTTAACTATGACTTAACTATATAACTTATATTGACTATGTATTGCGGATTTTTTTATTAGAACTTTATGTATGTATTTATTTATTATGGGTATTTATTATCATTATTTTTTTGCGCACTGAAGAGGAGCAAGTAGAGCTCGAAACGTTTGTGTAATTATTATGTCAAATTAAGAATTTTCTTCTAAATAATAAAATAATTTCGTATTGCTCGTTACACATGGCCTTAATTTAATAATTTATCACTGAGATATTCTATTGTTAAATTATAATATTATACATACACATTATTTAATACTGAAAATTTTTTATTTGTTAACATTTAATATTATTTAATTTATACAAGGTAATTGCTTTTAATACTTTTTTTCGTCTCTTCCAAATTTTATTTTTTTTTTAAATTTTTAAAAATGTTTACGATAACAAATATGTGTAAAATGCTTTACAAATAAAAAGAGTTATATGATCTCACCACACGCAATACTGAGAGTACATTTTGTTACATGTTCAACAAAGATTATTTCATTCCCGTTTAGTCCAACATTTTCTAATTCTTTTGTTAATATTAAGGATTGTTCGACAAATATATCAAAAGATCTTCGTAATGTGTTTGTATTAAAGCTCAGCGCTATCATTTTTCGATTTTTAGTCCATATAGATGCTGAAATAAATATTATAAAAAGATAGAAAAATTAAGTATGACACACACACATATATAAATGTCAATAAAAAGGGCGCGCCATTGTCCAATTTTACGTAATGCTTTTATGTTTATATTCTTTAATATATAATCTTGTAGACAGATGTCTGTTGTTATCACACCCACAATTTTTCAATAAAAATTTGGAATTGATCATTAATATACTTTTAAGCAATGGTTACCCTCTTGATCTGATCTTTAACAAAATCAATCGTCGGATAGAACACATCATATCTAAAAAAAGCATTATAGAGAGACAAGCCAACATAGAAAGAACAGAAATTATAGAAAAGGACTCAGTTAACAACAAATTCTTTGTCATTCCGTATATAAATAGGATCTCAGAAATGATTGTTTCCACGGTAAAAAATACAGAATGTATTGTAGGATATAGATGTCTCAACAAACTTGATAATATTATTAAAGTACAGAAAGATAAAACTAAACATCCATGCAATTCGAATGTGATTTATAAGATCAGTTGCAATAATTGTAATGCATCTTATGTGGGCCAAACGAAGAGGCAATTACAGACGAGACTAAAAGAACATAGAAATAATATCAGGTTGGACTCAACGAAATTTTCAGTAATTTCTGAACACATAATAAATGAACATTATACATTTAATTGGGATAATGTAAAGATTCTAGACAACGAAAATAATTATTATAAAAGACTCATTTCTGAGATGCTATATATTAAAGAACAAAAAATGGGCTAAATTTAAACAAGAATACTGAGTTACTCAGCGAGTCATATTTTGATATTTTGGATAAATTGGCGAACAATAAATAATAATAAGACAAATAGGACATTACGGTTTAAACATAGATATTAGAGTATATATAAACACTCACACTCTCCGATCAAGCAGAGTTTAAAATGAGCTGTCTTTTTATATTGTTGGTTTTGTCGTGTGTCATCTTCAATAACTTTTTTAAGACGTGGTGAAAATTGTCAAGAAGGACGATGTTAGGTAAGCACATTGCTAATTGTTGGGGATATATATTGTAATTTCGACATACGTTAATTGTTAATTTTTATTAATCGCAGCGCCTACGGAACGTTCTAATTTCTCGCTTATTAACGACGAAACTTTTCGAGATCTGAATAAAACCAAAGATTATATCGAGTCGAACATTATTCGACATTTTTCCTACACACGATGGAGTAAAACACGCGTTAACTGCTCATAAACTCTCGACTCTGAAGAACTAGAATTAATTTTTGACATTATATGAATTTTTTTATGATTTTATATTTTAACAATGTACTGAAGAAGACCGCGTGCAGTTGAAACGTTGATTGTAAAATGACTGTATTCTTGCGTTAATTTTAATATTCAATGATTGTAACTTTATAATTTATATATGAAATAAATGTCATTTGATTGAACAACTCGAATATTCAGCTCAATAAGTTGGCCTTGCATTTAGCACTTTTTGTTTTTCAATATACGAGCGAAACTTTGTATCAATTTATTTTTAATATTATATAAAATTACATAAAATCATTATTAAAACCACAATCTCCACTTGATTCCTCTCGACCAATAGAGCCAAACGCGATGTTATTGCGACAATTATGAAAGAAAGAAAATTTGGAAAACTAAGGAATTTGAATCCTATGGTTGGGATCTCAAAAATTCCCCTTGTTCCTTCTCTTAACATCCCCTATAAAGAAAATAGGCGAGAAAAATATTGGTCCGAAAGTCGGCTGAATCGGAAATCAAACCCGAGACCTTCCGCTTGCCGGGCGACTGCTCTTCTAGCTGAGCTATTCAGACACTTACGAAGAAATATTTTTCTCAATGTTTATTTTTCCAAATTTTCTTTCTTCCATAATTGTCGCAATAACATCGCGTTTGGCTCTATTGGTCGAGAGGAATCAAGTGGAGATTGTGGTTTTAAAAATTAAAAGAGCTGACTTAATAAGTACTCTCATTATTGTTCGTCGCGTCTGGATCTAATTACGACGCTTTGGGTGGGTGGGGGGTATAAACATTGAGAAAAATATTTATTCGTGTCTGAATAGCTCAGCTGGAAGAGCAGTCGTCCGGCAAGCGGAAGGTCTCGGGTTCGATTCCCGATTCAGCCGACTTTCGGACCAATATTTTTCTCGCCTATTTTCTTTACAGGGGATGTTAAGAGAAGGAACAAGGGGAATTTTTGAGATCCCAACCATAAGATTCAAATTCCTTAGTTTTCCAAATTTTCTTTCTTTCATAATTGTCGCAATAACATCGCGTTTGGCTCTATTGGTCGAGAGGAATCAAGTGGAGATTGTGGTTTTAAAAATTAAAAGAGCTGACTTAATAAGTACTCTCATTATAAAATCATTATGTAAAATCGGACAATGGCGCGCCCGAAGCGCACGGTTGTGCTATCTAGTATATGTCAATAATTCATTTTTTAGGGTCGTTTTATTCTTTTAGCGTAAAATGATAAGATATTTTCTTATTTTGATTTAGATCATAACATATCCAAAGCTCAACAAAATCAGAAAGGGATCTTTTTCTTCCTTGTAAAAGTGAATAATTAATCTTTTAATAATCTTTTAATAATCTTTTATAGTAATTAAGTTATATAAAGAATAATTGTTTTACGCTTTTAAAAAGGTCTTACCAGAAGCTGTGACTAATCCTTTGCCAAATAATGGTTTAAGAAGGTCTTCATATGCTATACTTTTATCTAAGCAATGCTTATTTTGTAAAATTTTCTGCAACATTATATACAATTTTTGAAAATATTTTCAATGTAGAATTGCTTCTGTTATTTACACAATTATAGATATTTAGACATATATTTCAAAAAATTATTTTAATTAAATCAATTATAGTTACAAGTATTGCATTCATTATAAAGATCCCTTATAGAAATTTATCACTAATAACGCCAATTTATCACTTATTTCGAGTACTTAAATTACTATATATCAGTATTTTAAGTACTCAAAATAAGTGATTAATTGGTTACTAGTGATAAATTTCTACAAGGGATAAATAAAAAATTAATATTTTTATATATTTTATATAAATATTTATTTTATGTAAATATATATATATATTTGTTTATTCTTAGTGAAATATAACTTTTATTTCTTTACCTTTATTTGACCTGGCTTATTTATTCCAATGAATAACTTGTTGCCCATCCAAAATTGTAAAGGGGATGAATATTCTTCTATCAGCATAATTAAAGTATCCAATAATTCTATAAAATGTTTTTTGACTTATTATTTATTTTATTATATATTATACAGGGTGTTTTAGGAGGTCAGCATTTTAGGATATGATTATTGTACACATTTTTTTAAGCAAAAAAGTTTAGATTACGTTGTGTTTTATTCTGGACAGTTAGAAAGATACATTTTTAGATTTAAGAATAAAAATATATTCATTAATTTATTAAAATCAAATTCTATGAAATATTTAAGAACGAATACAACAATCAACTTATTAGAACTAATTTATAAGGATAATGAATGTATATAGAATAAGGTTATACATTTTTATTCTTAAACACTAAACTTTTAAAAGAATATCATTAATTTTTTTTTGTAAGTTAAGCATATTATTTTTTTTGTTATTAATTACCGTCAGAATTTCGCTGGAGAAGACAATAGGCTGTCCCAATAAATGGCAATGTTTTCGGACCAGGCAGAACACTTTTTATTTTATTAGAAGATTGTTGATAATTCAAAACGTAATAATATGCAACGACACATATACTAATTAATATAATAGTTACAATCATTGTATTGAGCAATGATAACAATGGAATTGTAGTTTAATTTGACACATTTACTATTGTACTGAGAATGTTAGTTACTCGGGTGCTTTTTATATATTCTCCACTCGCAGAGTATCAATTTATTTTTCTGGCATTGGAAGAAGATAAAATAATATCCTGCGTCACGTACGCGCGCGTCTGTGTCATTTGCTGGAAACATGCAATAATAATAAATTTGAATATTACTTATATAATTTATTTGTTTATACATATAATTATATGTTATATTATATAATTATATAATAAATCATCTTATATTATATAATGTTATTCTTTAGAAGGAAATCTCTTAAATGTGGAAATTCTGATTTTAATAAAACTTTACTTACATGTAAGAAAAAAAAAGATAAGATAAATAGATCACTATAAACTTGAAAGTTATAGTTGATAACGAAGGTGATGCAGAAGCTATTGCCGAATTTGTAAAAAAAAAAATATATGCACAATAATACTACACGATAATTTTTCATGCGAATAGTTCTTTGCATGTCAAATCAAATTGTAATTTTATGATATTTATGTATTCAAATAGTTGCTGAAGATGATCCAAATAAGAGTCGAAACGTTCACTAATAACGGAAACTAACAACAAGAGTTTCTAGCAAAGAATAAATTTACCTGCGTATCATCTTCCGCGCCAGACTCTTATTCAGTCACATTAATTTTTAATTAAATGATCTACTTTTTGATAGAAAGATCCACTTTTATAACGCGTTTCCTTTATTCATAACTGCAACGATGTACCTAAAAAATGGAAATACATTTTTTAAAATAAAATTATATATTTTTTTAATTGTAGATCGGTTTCTTGAAACTTTCCTAATCAAGAATTAGGATACAATGTAAAAAAATCAACAACTCGTGATATATTTTATATTTTTAATTGCATATGTGTATACACACACACATATAGGATGCGCGAAAAGTTTCGGAATGGTTTAATATTTCGGAAAAATTCTCATTATTTTTATGCATAAAAGTAATGAAATAAAATTATCGGAAAATAAATATTTTACAAAATATTTAATAGTTTATGTAAGATTATTGCCAAATTAAAATATAAAATATCTTGCAAATTTTTCAACTAAATTATTATTTTATTCAAAATTAATACCTAATCAAAACATCACATACCAATGCTCAAGCTCGTATGACAATAAAAACAATGATAAATTATTAAATTAAGGCCATGTGTAACGAGCAATACGATATTATTTTATTATTGAGAAGAAAATTCTTAATTTAAAATAATAATTGTACAAACGTTTCGAGCTCTACTTGCTCCTCTTCAGTGCGCAAAAAAATAGTGATAATAAATAACGATAATAAATAAATACATAAAATTCTAATAAAAAAGCTCCTCTTGCTCCTCTTCAGTGCGCAAAAAAATAGTGATAATAAATAACGATAATAAATAAATACATAAAATTCTAATAAAAAATCCGCAATACATAGTCAATATAAGTTATATAGTTGAGTCATAGTTAAAACGCAAAATATATTTACAATAAATTGAGACCATTAAAATAGTTCAACAAAAATTTTTTTATTAATAATTCTAATATATTTTATGAATAACCGGACGAATCATTCTGCTTCTAATTGGGTTCTTACTTTGTTGAACTATTTTAATGGTCTCAATTCATTGTAAATATATTTTGCGTTTTAACTATGACTCAACTATATAACTTATATTGACTATGTATTGCGGATTTTTTATTAGAATTTTATGTATTTATTTATTATCGTTATTTATTATCACTATTTTTTTGCGCACTGAAGAGGAGCAAGTAGAGCTCGAAACGTTTGTACAATTATTATTTTAAATTAAGAATTTTCTTCTCAATAATAAAATAATATCGTATTGCTCGTTACACATGGCCTTAATTTAATAATTTATCATTGTTATTATTTTATTAATTGAACATATATTAATATTTAAGATAAATATAACGTTTTTTTTTTAAATTTAATATATTATATTTAATTTGAATATTTTTTTATATATTCAATTAACAAAATAATATTTAGTTAAAAAGTTCAATCAAATTAATAAATTTTTTTTCAGTAATATTGACGATTTTACGTTATAATATTACACAACCATATGTAAATGTTATTTGCTTTACACAAATAATTAGAATTCAAATTACTTACGTAAACGTGGGCGCGTCCTTTAAACTTCTTTAAAAAAGTTAATATGATATTCTTGATTCTTACTTATGTTAATTGGCTCGATAATTAAAAATATGAAAATACTAATTTATGTATCAATATATATATATATAAATTACTTACGTAAACGTGGGCGCGTCCTTTAAACTTCTTTAAAAAAGTTAATATGATATTCTTGATTCTTACTTATGTTAATTGGCTCGATAATTAAAAATATGAAAATACTAATTTATGTATCAATATGTATATATTATTGTTGTAAATATATTATTTTCAACTAAATTATCGCAGAGTGTGTGATATCTCACTCTCGTAGATCGCGGTACTGCGCAACCGCGATGGAGTTTTAGTGACACACCCAGAGGAGATGCAACGACATAAAAAAAAGAGACTAACACAAAAATAACTGCATATATTAATATTTAAGAATATAAATATGATTTTTTTTAAATCGGCCAACAGAGCCAAAGCACGAAAAATTAGTTATTCGGAACTGTATCTCTTGGTTTGAGATCACTAAGTTCCATATATAAATTAATCTCGGAACTTACATATGGAGAAATAAGCGCGAAAAATATAGGTCCGAAAAGTCGCTGAAGAGGGAATCGAACCCGCGTCTTTCACTTTCCGGGCGACTGCTCTTACTAAAGCAGTAGATAAAGCAATTAACTGCATAATTCAAACTTTTACCCAACATATCTTGAAGATAAAGAGTGGGCTCAATCTGACTTTCGAGGATTAATGACTTATATATAATATAAATAGATTTCGTTATATATGTTCTTATCCACGACATACACAATGGCAATACACTTTAGACGATATAATGACAGCTTAACAAGTGATAGACACAACCTATTGATGATTTTGACAGTATTTATTAGAACATCATTTTAGATAAGTTTGAAGAATGTATTAATATTTTAATAAAAAATCAGCCATACATGAGTTCATCAAAGACATAGAATCTAATGCAAGACGTAACAATATTAATAATTTGACAACTACACGAAATATCGCGATCACTATAACACAACTTCTTAACTCGAACGAAAAAATGGGCTTAACACAACGGAAATTAATCCAGATGCATAAGGAAACTATGAAATTTAATAAAGATAACCATACAGTTTTGAAATTTAATAAAGATAATACAATTTTAATTATATGTATTTTAATTGATTATACTTATAAGTATTTTTATATTATCTTAAAAAGACTGCATAGAATTATTTGTGCGACACTCTTATATGTATGTATAATTAATAGGGACCAACTACACATTTTTTTCCACTGAAATTTTGATAAGAATCTTTTGACTTAAAATGATATAACATTTCTCAGGATTATACAGAGAGATTGTATGAATTTAGAGTACTATAATAGTCTAATAGAATATATGTGTAAGATTGACATATGTGATATTATTTGATAATGTTAATACTCAAGAATTTAAACTGCCATAATATTTTCAATAATATATAAATAAATGGAAAATTGAAAAAAAATATATATTTGATATATTTTATTAATATAAAAATACTTTTCCTTTAAGATAAAAATAAATAGAGCTAAATAAAAAATACATTCTAATCTTCTAAAACATTGCTTTCTATAATTGTTTATTACAATATCAGATATCAAATAATTAAAATAATACATACTTTTTTCCTCATAAAAAAATTTTTAGTTAAAAAAACTGGGCGCGCTGCAATGAGTTTAAAAGTAACAATTTAATTTTAATATCATTAGAATATTATTTAGCAGCGCGTCCAGTTTTTTTAACTAAAATTTTTTTATTTCTTTTTATTTTATATTAATTTTAAATTTGCATAAGTTTTTAAATTTTAATTTTTTATAAAAATGTTTATTTATTCGCGCAATAATTGGACATTACTTTTTGTAGAGATATTAATTTTAGAATATAAATTTTTGTCAATTGATAGATTTTTTTATTTAAAAATACTTTTTTGTTTAACACTTTTTCACATGGCGCATGGACTTGGCATCTTGTTTATCTTTTTTTTTAAAAGATAAGTTTTTTTATGGTACGATTTTACATTTGCAAATTTAAATTTTTATTGATTCATTATACGACTCTATATATGTCTGCAACTTTAATTTTCCACTGGTACAAGTTTCTACTTTCACTTGGCGCATTTTTTTTTTTATAGGCGTTAACACAAATAATTTCATGTGTTAAGGCATTTCTGTTACTGATTATGAGTGTACATGTTTTCTTTAAATCAAAAATTAATTTTGGCAGTAGCAATAAAATATTTTAGATGCTTCTTAATTAATTCCTATTCAAATGCAAGAAAACTTTAATATAATACAAGGTACGTTATTTTCAAAACAATTTTAATTTAATTTCATAATATCTTTGTCTTATATATACGTACAATATTATCTATAACATTACAGAAAGCTTAAAAAAGATAGAACGTTTGGTGGCAACAAGCAATGTACGTTAAGAGATAACACTGAACGATTGAAAAAAATGGAAGATTTAATGAAACGGGGCTATCCAGTACAACAATCTATGGAAAGCAATAATTATATTGTGGAGTTTTTTCCTCTCAACCAAATTGAAGATATAAGAAATATAGAAGATATATTGAAAACAAATAAAGAAGCAGAAACGCTACTCGTAAGTTTTTATATTTTTTTGCAATGTGTGTTTTTATTATTGTTAATATTATTATATAATTCGGCAACACCTGTGATTTTGGTAAAGGTAAAGATGAGCGGTCCTTCTCACTGATTTTTTTGAAACTTTTTTACAAGTAGATTTTGATGCGTAGAAAAACTGTTTAGAAATTTTTTTAACTTTTTATGAGATGTAAAATAATCGTGAATGTTTCCAAACTTTCGAACAATCATATATAAATATATATTGATTTTTTTAATATAAAAATTTTATGATAAGCAAAAATATCAACGAACAAAAATATTATTTTGCAGAAAAGATTTTTATTGAAAATTGGTGGGAATAATCCTAAAGACAATATTCATCGGATTTTAAAGAATATTTTCACAAATAAATGTGCTGTTGTGTGCCTCGGGTGAGACACAAAGGGTCGCGCCAAATTAGGATGAGGATTCGGGGCGTCAGGACTTATTTCGGGTTGATGAAATAAATGCACTTCACGTCGATGAGGAAAGCGACAATGACGAAATAAATGAGGTGGTTGAGGAATTACCAGCATTGAATTTGTACAATGTACAGCAAAACAAAAATAATGATGATCAAACCGTTTTAAAACGTACGGCTTTTCTCACACAAATCACTGAACATTCGGATATTAACGATCAGTATACAATATACCCAATACACGCGAAAAGAATCGATAACGAATCTGCATTGAAGCTTTATCAAATGGTGAAAATTGAAGATTTTCCAATGGATAATCGTTATAAATATCTGGATGTCATGTGTTTCCCTGATTTATATCCTGATGGTGTCAATGGACAAGATAGAAACTTTGCATTGCCGGAATATTTATTTATTAGAACACGATTGATGTCGAAACATAGTAGATTCAGGTTGAATCTGCAGTA